CTCTCTCTCTCTCTCTCTCTCTCTCTCTCTCTCTCTCTCTCTTTATTTCTGTCTTTTTTTTATAGACCATTTGCTAATTGTCTGATATAAATGCAAATACCGTGCTTTGTTTGAAATTCTCCTGTCGCCCCCCAGCAGGGAATGTGAGAGACGCTCGGAGAGAGTTGTATGAACGAGACAGTGAGGGTAGAGAAATCGAGGGGGAAAAAAGAAAAGAAAAAAAAAAGAAAAGAAAACTAAAGAGGAAGGGGGTTGGACAATGCACTTTGAGGTTTGAAAAGCTCATACCCATAGGCCTAACACTAACTGTGGTAAAGGGATCTATTAAAATAAATAAATTAAGAACGTGCCCTCCTCTTGGGAAATCACCATATGGAATTACAATAACGGTCTCGTTTTCCCATCATGTTGAAGGGGGAAAATGCCGTGTTTGCATACGGTTTTTAAAGGGATAAAAGTAATATCATTTTCCTGTTTCCATTTCTGTATATAACGTACTAGATTTCTCTACTAGTTTTAAACTGTCTGCGTAACGGATGTTGCGCGATTAGAGGGGACACAGATCGTGCGAGTTTTTTTTTTTTTTTAAAGATATTGCAAGACAGCGTAAAATATCCACTTTTCCATCAGCCTTCCAAATTCAAACAGAATTCTCTGAATAATTTGTTTCTCTCCCATGGTCACCCCCTATCATATCTTTCTTTCTCTTGTTTTGGTTTTAAAATCCTGCATACGATAGGATACGTAATGCTGCCCTCCACAAAAACAAGCCAATTTTTATTTATGACATACGGTGACAATTTTAAAAAACCCAACATATTCTTTGTCTCTATCATGTGCTGCATACGGAAATTGTGTGCCAATAAAATGGTCCTCTCATTCTCTCTTTCTATCTCTTTTTCGCTACCTCCCCTCCCCTTTTTTCAAGCCACCTTTTTCTAGCATATCCTCCCAAACCTAGCAGGTAATATCTGTTACCCCTCCTCCTCCTCCTCCTTCTTCTTCCTCTTCTTCTTCTTCCCCCTCCTCCTCCACTTCCTCCTCCCCCTCCCTTGGAATACTCACAATAGTCAATTTCAAGACACAGTAGGCTGTTGTTAGCGCGCAAAGCCCTTTGGCTTTCTTTCCCTCAACAAAGGATTCAGTATACTCACACGAAACGAAATTACACGTCTTAGTTCAGTTTTGAAGTGACTGACTGATAGAGGCAGACAATCAGAGCTGCGGACTCAGCAGGCTTAGAAGTCTCAGCTCCACAACCTGCGTTAGTTCCTGCATTGGAAGGGGGGGGGGGGGAGATACTAAGGTCAAGATAAGCCGATGCTGGGAAGAGGTATAGGTCTAGCTGCCTGATCAATCACTCTGGGTTTCCAGCACGCAAAGGAGAACGACACATAGAAACGGGCGAGTTTTCTCTTTACAAG